TAATTGTGAGCTGCTCAAGTTGAGGCTGGGAACCAAACTTTGGTCCTCTGCAAGAGCAGTACACAGTCTTAAATAATAAGCCATCTCTCTGGCCCTTCAACCTTACACATTTTAAACAAATAAAGTACATCAAGTTGAACTCCATCCTTCCAATAGGAGAAGCTCCCAAGTTTGAATTTCCTCAACTTTAAAATGGGAGAAACAATTTGATCATTTAATTGAGCTGTAATTCACATTCAACTACTAAAATCTTTGTTTGGTGTTTTTTAAACATGTGTTAGATTTATGACCTGACCAAACTGTCTTTAAGAAATTCATTCTCTTTATGCTACATACACACTGCTTTTTGGACAAGTTTAAACACAACCACAATGAAAACCAACACGGCGATCGCTTTCCATATAAGTAGTTCATTAATATACTTAACTGGATATTTTCTCTATTCCAGGTTCACACCCAACAATTACTGTGTTTCACATATTATTTTCAAAACCAGACTAATTCCAAGAAAAAAAGAAAATGGGGTTACATATCAAAGAAAATACAAGAAACAGTTAAAGGAATTCTAGATACTCTTTCAAAGAGAAAACATGTCCAACCCACTTCCTACCTTTACTGTCCCCACTGTAAGAACTCATTAACTACTGAGCTCTTTTTTTATGTTTGTTGGAGTCTCTCTATGTAGCCCCAGTTGGCCTGCCAGTCCTGTGTAGATCAGGCTGGCCTTGAATTCACAATTATCTACCTATCTCTGCCTTCCAAATGCTGGGATTAAAGGCATGTGCCACCATATCTGGCAACTACCAAACTCTTTAAAAGCAGTAGGGAAGATATTTATCCTTTACCCAAACACAACAGCATGTATAGATTTCACAGTTAAAAGTCTAGGACTTTCCTTTATAATGAAAGATAAAACATGGTCAAGTTAGATGCTGTGGTAATCCCTGAAACTTAAGGGGGCAAGGAAAGAACTTTTCATTGGGAGGAAACATTTGAAACCACAAGCAAATTAGAAAGTTACCTCCCCCAACCCCCAGTTTCTAACACCTAAGTCAATTTGTCTTTGTTCTATAGGGATCTAACAGGAACTCAGAAGAAGAAAGGCATTCATACTTGGTGTATGTAGTGGCAGTTGAACTGAATACTTCCCTTTAACTGACATCTATCAAACTCACCTTGTTCCTTAGCAACCTCAGGTAAGTATGTGGCTGTGCGTTTGATGCCTTTTTCATTGATGAATTCAATCCGAATCCCATGGACCCCTACCTACAAAAAAATGCAACCAAGTACATGGCATTTTCTGAGTCTAAGAATATTCCAGTCACCCACATATAAATCAACATTGTCTCCTAAGCTGCTTGATCCAGGTCTGGGAAAAGAATTCTGGGTTTTTTTGTTTGTTTTTGTTTTTCTGAGACAGGGTTTCTCTGTGCAACAGCCCTGGCTGTCCTGGAACTCACTCTATAGATCAGGCTGGCCTCAACCTCAGGGAGCCCCCTGCCTCTGCCTCCCAAGTGCTGGGATTAAAGGTGTGCACCACCACTACCTATCTAAAAGAATTTTGTGTGACTAATTATTCTGAAGTACAGAAATGAAAGTCGGTTGTTTTAGGAAAAGGACAAATATATATGTAGTTGTACCTCTGAGAATGTGAAGCTTAGAGATGAGTTCTTGAAAGGGGATACCCTTCTAGCCTAATTCCACTACATGAGCATGTCAAACTGTGTCTATATAAATCCATGGCTCTTCAAACTAGTTCCCTTTGAATTTTTTAAAAATTGTCTCGCTGTATAGCCCAAGCTGGTCTGGAACTTGCGATCCCCCTACTTCTACCTGGATTGCTGGTATTATAGGCATGTGCCATTATGCTCAGGTTCACATCTGATCTCTAATAAAAACTTTTCTCCAGGGGTTTGTCAAGAGGCATCTGGGATGTTTTGTTATCTCATCATTTAACTAGACATGGGAGAAGGATCAGATGGACCTTATTGAACAGAGTGGGCTGGGAAGAAATAGGAGAGAGTTTGTTTTGTTTTTTCTGGGGTTGGGTGCTAGTCCCGGCTGACTTGACCAGGCTGGTCAAGTACTGGGATTAAAGGTACGTGTCACCACACCTGGCTCATAGTAGAGAGAACTGATTTTCCATTTCTTTTCTATTACTAGTTGAGAAGTACCTTTTCTGTCACTCTCACATTCTTAGACCCTCTCTCAATGAAGGAGATACATTACCATGTACTAACCCGAACCCAAATGCAACGAGAGATGCAGAGATCCAAATGCAGCTGTTCTCACCTCCCAGTCCAGGTAATCACTGGCATCTTCAAAGTTAGTAAGGAGGGAGACAGAACAGAAAAGTTTGGGCAGCTCCTCTCGGGTCAAGGGGGGGAATCGGCTGTCCTTAAGTGCACTAGAAGGGACAGAAAATATAAGTGAGGCTGCCTCCTTTTAGGAGACAACATTGCATGCTCTATAGAGCCCACACAGCTGAGTCCCGAGAGCCTCAGACAGCATCTCCTAGCACCTAACACTAATGTCAGCATCAACTGTCTTTTCAGAAGCAGATGGGTGGCTCACCAGGTTATATCCTTACACTTCTTGACTACAAAAAGGGACTGCTCAAACTCTACCAAACATTTTGAAGAAATAAGGCTAGAAAGCTATTTGCAGTTCTAGTTCATTTATGTATATTTTCTAATGTTTGTGTCATTACCTGGTTAACGTGTATTCCCTGAGTCCTGAATGAAGATTCATGGCTGAGAAGGTCCCAATGCAGCCCCGAAGACGCTTGTCTCGCCCTGTCTTCCAGGTCACAAAGAGAGGACTAAAAAAAGCAAAACATAAAATATTCTCCAGCCCTAGATTAATTATGGATATATTGCTATTCATTTCTGTTACTGCCCAAAGGTTCTGAATTGCCAGCTACCTGAAGAACTCTGCCTTTCTAGAAGTTGCTCAGCCCTGACCAAGAACACATGAAGTTCATGAGACAACAGCAGAAGCTCTGTTTGTGGAGCCTTTCCTCTGCTGTGTCCTCACAACTGTCAGTCACTTACACATTACATATAGACACTCTTCTCCTCTTCCTCGCCTTGAACTCAGCTTCTCCTGTTTATGTTTCTGGAAACTGCCACTCAAAGTTGCCCAGGTGGGCCTCAATTTGAGATATCCTTGTCTCCACACTCCCAAAGTGCTAGGATTACACAGTGTTCTACAACACCCAGGAATCTCTCCTCTTTCCAAATCCTTCTCCTTTACTCTCCCCTAGCTACAAGCATTCTCTGCAAGACTTCACTGTTCTCACAATTGTAACTACTGGCAAACTACAAACAGTTCCTGTGCATAGACTTTCAGAAGAGAGAAACAACTTCTCAAGATAAGCTTCATAGTAACAGAATTTGCTATTTCTGCTCTTAGACAAAGTCAGTATCATTGGCTGTAGCAGATGGATGTCCTTCTTCCTGAGATCCCGCGACATCCTAATGCTCTCACCTTTTAAGATTCCTGAGTTAGGCAAAGTAAATACACAAAGTTATCTATCTAGACTATCCCCCCCTCCCATCTCTGAGACAGGTCTCACTACATAGCCTCAAACACAAAGATTCTCCTGCCTCTGCTGGAATTAAAGGTGTATGTCACCACATCTGGCCAAAATAATTTATTCTTATTTTATGTGTGTTGGCGTTTTGCCTACATGTCTATTAGTGTGAGGATGTCAGGTCCCCTAGAACTGGATTACAGAGAGTTGTGAACTGTTGTGTAGGTGCTGGGAATTGAACCCAGTTCCTCTTAGAACTCGTAAACACTGAGCCAATTCTCCAGCGCCCCGCCCCACCCCATCCCAGGCTTCTTATAGTTTTCTTTTTCTTTTTTCTTTTTGGTTTTTCAAGACAGGGTTTCTCTGTGAAACATTCCTGGAAACTTACTCTGTACATCAGGCTGGCCTTGAACTCACAGAGACCTGCCTACCTCTGTTTCCCAAGTGCTGGGATTAAAAATGTATGCCACTACCCAGTAGCTGAAGTGCCTTTTAAAACTAGTGGAGAGCTACCTCCAATTTTGATTAAGAAACCAATGGCATTTCCTTTTTTTATTTGATCTAATAACTGCCTAAACATGTTAGAGAGATGGCTGTGGTTAAAAGAGCTTTGCTATACACGTGTGAGGACTAGAATTTGGATCCTTAGAGCCCACATAAATGCCAGTGGGTGTGGTGGCACACCTGATTCTGGCTTCAGAAGGTGAAGACAGTAGGTCCCTGGCCAAGCTGACTAGTTGAGACTAGCTATATCCACCAGTTCTGGGTTAGACTGAGATCAACCCTGACACAATGAAACAAAGTAGAACACTTAAAGATGATTCCCAAACATCAACCTTGAACCTCCACTGAACCAACCCATGCCGCCCCCCATACATGCACATACATGTATATACACATGCATGAAAACAGCTATCTTTAGACATCTTAGGACAACCAACAGTATCTTTGTTAAAAGCATCAGCTCCCAATGAATGAGAGCCCCTAGTCTCCAGCTTGGCCTTTAGACACTTCCAGTTCACATTCCCTTATACTTCACCACTACTGAGGTCTACCTTAAGCCATGTGAACCACCACCAAGAAAAATGTCTGTTTCCATACTCCTATAGACAGACCCAGTTAAGAGTAACCTCAGAAGGATGTTACTATGCCCTCCTCCATATTGTCCCATGTCTAATTTACTCACTAGGGGTCATTGGTGAATCTAGGAAGTCGTGGCTGTGGGAAGCCATAGAGGTGACAGTAGAGTACATCAAAGCAGTAGCAGCACATCTCTGCAGTCACCACAAGATTCTTAGTGGTGTTGGCAGTTCCATTGGGCCGGGGAAGAGGGCTCAGGGCTCCAGATGCAGGATTCATTCGTGTGATAGGAGAGTTTCCAGGTCCCAGAGTTAAGTCCGATACATTTTCCCGGCCACTGCTGCTGTCCACATGCTGGTGGTTTTGAAGAGGTCCTGAACTAGAGCCAGGAACAGTTGTGGACTGATTGCCGTGACTATGTGTTCCACTTCCAGATAATTTGGGTTTCTTGACCCCACAACAGCCTGCTGCCAACTTGGGCTCAAGGGGAGGAACACAACGTCTTTTTCCCATCCTGATTTGGTGTTTGTAATCTGGAATGCTGCAGAACCCTAACCCAAAAGAGAGCAGGTAAGTACCGATTGTAATGATGCAAGAAAGAACAAAAATCAAACAAAAAGTGTCTGCATGAATTAGTTAAAAGCTGATAAGGACCTGGCACTAAGGCTCAGCAG